ACCTTTCTTTGCCACCTGATTCTCCACCTACAGGCCCAACGGCATGCAGCGCAGCTTCTTGCAGTTTAAGTTCCCCCCTGTGGTCACTACAACTTCACCTGTAGAATTTTCCCAGTCTGCTTTACTATAGCGCTGCTCTCTTTCTGAACCTGAGGGCCACCTGCTTTACTCAGTGCAGCAGCAACACCGCCACAGTGTTTCAGGTCTCCATTGGCAGCGTTCACCAGGGCGTCAGCAACCTGTTTGGTGATGTCCCCCTGACACACCAGAACCTGGAGTCCGCCACAAAGGCTGTAGCTAGCAACTAGGTGTTAACTTCACTTAAACTCAAAGATGCCAAATTCTGTGTAACACTTACGAGTTTATCTTTCCCAGTGGGAGTACGGATATTTCTTACTGCTCCTAATGAGTCAGTAGCGCCTTTATCCTGAATAAGGGAGTCCAAAAATGGACCCAAGTTGTTCCTGACCTCAGTCACTTTGCTGGATGGACCTTCCAGCATTACCACAGGCCCAGAGGAAGATGTTAAAGTATGGAGGGTAACCCCTGAATAGTCAAAACCATGCAGCTGCAGCAATTCTGGTAACTCTTGTGCTAACTCTGGGAAAGGGAGATCGACTATGCTTTGCACACAAGACTGGTCCAAAATAAACTGTGTGACAGTTTCACTCAGCTCTTCGACCTCCTTCGTGTGGCCCAGTAGGAACACTGTGCTGTCTGAGCCAAACACAACCTGAGCCCTATGCTGCCCTCGGTTCATCTCATTTGTCTTGGACTTAAGCTTTTCCTGAAGCTCAGATGGCACAGCGGAGCAGTTAGGCACATAGATCTTGACTTCCTTGAATTTTTCTTGCAGTTTTTTCTCTGTCTCATCCAGTTTTTCAGCAGAGCGGCTGAACAAATGCAGCTCTGTGTCTCGTAACTCTACTTCCACCTTGTCACCAAACCCTAAATGTCACTTAGCACCCCTGGACCTCCATATGCCCTCCTGAGGAAGGCCAAAAAATGTGGGCTCATGTCAGAAACTGTCCTTTCTGACACCAAATTTTCTATATCAGAGATCTGGTCTCCGGCCTTAAGAATCTCCTCAACAGAACCTTCCAAAACTAACTGCCCTGCATCTCCCTGTGTGACCTTCACACCTGGAAAATCTCGTCCCAGACTGTGCTCAATCTCTGTCCAAAGGAGACGGAGTTTGGCTGTGCCAAGTCGGCGAATGCTGGTTTGCTTTTCACTTAAACTTGACCCTTGTTTAACCCGTGAGTGCTCTACATCCATCAACCTGGCCTTCACCTGTGAACGTTTCCCAACAACAACAGCCATCCCAACCTCGCTGTACACCTTCACCTCATCTGTGACCTGACGGGAGCTGCAGGACTGAAGCAAAGATTTAACTTTGTGAGGGTCAACCTCATAGTGGCACAGATATCCATCAAAAACTTTGTCTACTTCAGCTTTCCAGTTTCTAACTTCATCTTCTGCACCAGGTTGAGCTAAGCACCTAACTAAAGCCCTCTCATCCTCTGGGTAAAGCTTGGCAGAGCAGGCCACAGAAGAGAGTTCTTTCTCTAGTTCTTTCCCAGCGTTGGGGCTTTCCTTTAGGTAGCGAAGGAGGTAAAGGTCAAGTTGTAGTTCATAGTTTCCACCACTTGGTGGAGGAGTTGAAGCAGGAATGGACTGTGGGCTCTGTTGAAAAGAGAGGTCCAAATAATGTTAATTTTATTTACTTGTCTCGGTTTTTTTCCTAGCAAAATGCATAGAAACCGTTTAAGTGTTAGAACAAAGTCCTTACTATCACACACATCATATTAGCATACAATATTTAAGATGCAGTATACATCCTCATTGGTATTAAATAATTACATGAAATTAGGAACAGTAAATGTAAATCAGTGCTTGAATAAACCACCTTAAAGAGTGTAACTAACCTGTACTGGAGCTGTAAAATCAAGACTTGCAGTGGAGGTGGTGATGGGAGAGGAGGGGGGATCCAGGCTGCCTCGTACAGTGAATACCAGACAACCATCAGCAAGCTCCACGACATGCTTGTATCTCTGCAGGACTGCCTGCTGATCTAAGACAGAAAAGTGACATTAGTTATTTTGAGGTTTAAATAAGAGAATTGCTGCTCTTTGATATTAACCACAAACCATTTATTAGATGAGACCTTTTCTCTCTTTGCTGTAACTTATGGTTCGCAAAGGATAAAACAAAAGGCAACATTTGGTTCATTCTATCTTCCGTATTTATCTTTTCATTTCCCTCCCTTTATTTATGCCAGTTATTTAACAATTTTACTGTTTGTGCCTCAACCTCTCTCACACACAGTGCAGCATACTACATGAGTCACAATGTTGTTTATGGACAACAACCAACTGTGGAAAAACTACACTAGTGCAGTGAAACAATCGAATTTCACTTTTCATTACAGTAGATTATTAATGCAATATTCCTTATATCTTCAGTGTAGCTTAGCCTATATATTTCTCACTTTAACTAATCGAGTTAAAAACTTATCTGTGACACCACTGATTTAGGTTTCATTTTCTAGGGAAAGTGAAACTTAAGGAGTTCGCTGACAATATATATATTTTTTTGAATACGGGATCATTGACCCAATACTTAGCATAGGGCAACACGTCGACAGTCATATATTTTTCTATAGGCGAATAAAATCAAACAGCCTAAATCAATGTAGAGCCTATCGTTTTTTATAGCCTAGGTCAAACATAAGAAACGGCCTACGGCTTTTATCGACATACAAGACAATTCACAACGGCAATAAAATAATAGGCTCTTAACATGAACTGCTGAGTCTTATACCTTTCTCATATTTGAAAGCAACGCTGTAGCCTTGATCATTCACACGCCTCAATGGTCCGCAGTCTCCGCCGCCTGATCGCCGGCGAATCTGGAAATAAGTCTCTATTTTTTTTATCTGCTCTCCAGGCAGGTTGTGACACGCGAAGAAAACGGGATAGTGGTACATATCGTCCATCGTTTAGCTCGTATGGCGAGAAAAACGGCCTAAAGCAAAACATCTGCAGTGTTTGTCGAGCACTGTAGTGTGTTTACAGTGTTGCCCGTCTGATTTTGCTTGGAAACAGCGCGCAGATAAAAACCGGACTAACAGGGAGGACTACGGTAATGCAAGACCTTGATCAAGTCAACCGCCGCCTGATTTCTGTTGCGCCTTAAAGCGGTGTTATTATGGTAAGGACGGGTGCGAGTAGGCGGAAGGTCCTGATTAAATGAACACAAATACATACCACAGTAATATAATAACATTACTAATAATAACAGTAAAGATAATAGTAGTTTTAATAATAATGTAATTTATTGTTGTTTGTTATTAATGCAAAATATACCTTTTCTTTGTTATTTTGTGAACATAATTTATATGAACTTTGAATTTTCACCAACATAATTCCTAAGCAGTTAAGTTAGATCAGTGTTATCATGGCTTCTCCTTCCTAGTGTCCTTTACTATTACTGGTACAAATATAATGTTTTATTCTAGGCCGCCTACCACCTATGAGATATTGCACTCTAAAATCCCTCTAACAGTGATTTAATAGCATATTAACTGCCATTTCTATGTAAAATCACATGCTGAGCACCCCCATATCACCAGAATGGCATGATCCTGGTTTCACTCCACCCATCAAAGCATCGAATCTTCGACTACTTGGGGTCAGCCCTACATATATCGTAACGTTTTACTGTACCAACTGGGAGAAATTGTACTTGTGGCTGTTCCACCAGTGTATGAATGTGTGTGAATAGTGAATGCGATGTAGTGTAAAAGCACTTTGAGATATCGAAAAGACTAGAAAGGCTCTATACAAATACGGAGCATTTACATCTAAAATCTCATGATATATGTACCAGTAATAGTAAATAACACTAGGAAGCAGATGATATGAATAGGTGTCAGCTATTAAGGAACTGTTTTGGTCAAAGGTCAAAGTTCACAGAAATGTTAACTGTCTGTTTAATTTTCACTGTGGGAGGGATTTTAGAGTGCAATATCTCATAGGTGGTAGGCCTACAATAAAACATTGTGATATTTGTACCAGTGATAGTAGAGGACACTATGGAGAAGCCATGACAACGCTAATCTAACTGCTTAGGAATTACGCTGGTGATTTGCATTAATAACAAACAAATACTACTATTGTTATTAGTAATATTATATTTCTGTTGTTTGTATTTGTGTTCATATAATCACTAAGACCATCACAAAAAAACGCATATGTATCTTTCAGGACCTTTGGGTTACTCGCACCCGCCCCATCCTTACCATAATAACACCGCTTTAGGCGCAACAGAAATCAGACGGCGGCTGGCTTGGAGGTGCCCTGCCGAGAAAACCACATCATTGTAATGTACTTGTCATATGCTCTTGCAGCAAACATTAAAGTATACTGATACTACTCCAAAAGATATCATACACAATTTAAGAAAATATAAAATTGTGTTTTGTTGACCCCCATCACGCCCCCCTCTCGCATTTCCTGTTTGTCTTTGCTGTCAATAAAAGAAATGCAAAAAATAAATAAATAAACGATTAAATAAAAATAGGCTACTTGGAACCTTTTAAAAACCTTTTCTTTACTTTTGCCCTAAAATGCAAGTGGAAACGTAACTGACGTGGTATCCTGTCCCTGTCAAATGGACATACAAATTAGATGAAGGTGACAAAATACAGACAGCATTGTTATTCCACCAAAGAAGGAAATATTCATCTTTTATGTGTTGCTGTATATGGCGTTGTGCATGAACAAATGTTTGCCAATAAGTCAGACACATGGAAATGTATAGTAGGGAAGATCGGGGTATGTTGTCACACTTTTCACAGTCTAACATTTTCTGGACACCATCGAGTATAATTGTAGAAATACCATACCAAACGAAAGAAGGAAGTCTTGGGCATATATGTTGTTTGTTTTCATTACATCTTCATATCTTATCTCAGTATGGAGCGGTAGACTGTTGAATAGGGAGTGTGCACTTGTGACATTTTGCCCCATTGGCAGGTAATTGTCACACTGGATCGTCAAAAACTAAGAACACAATTACTGTCAATTTCTAAGGGTTGGAGCCGATGTGAGCAGTGGGGTGGACCGCATTTATGCAATTTTCTTTGGCCTAATTCAGTCCATCAATGCACAGATAAGGCTTGTGGTTGTCCAAAAGAAGTAAACAAGGCTTCTCATTTGAGCACTTTGCATGTTCATTGAAATGTTCCAGGAAATCAACAAAATGCACATCTTTCATCCATTCAAAGGTGTTCCATCCTCTCTGCTGCCAGGTGGCCCCTTGATGAGGAACTGATTGCGAAAGTTTCCCACATAAGCACAAACTTCAGCTGCTGTGCCATAGCCAACTGCTCGGTGAATCTTCTGACCTCACCTGGCAACAGACCAAAATGAATGTCACATCCAGGTGAAACAATCTCCTGTGGCTTTGTATAACCAACACTTGTTGTCAGCATAGCTGTCTGACTTATTATTTGGTAATCTTTTAACAGTACAGAGTCAGAATACAGTAATAGCGGTAGTACGGTAATGTCAAAATTCTTCACTGTCCTTTTTGATTTGTTCAGCAACTTCACCTGGCTGGTTGGCTGTAACATTATATAGGTGGCGTGCAGCCATGTAACCATCTTCCTTCCTTACATCCCGCCTTTAAAAACACATTTCCTCATTACAAACAGGCTTATTACATGGTCTTCTATCCTTTATGCCACAATGCAATTCATAACACCACACTAAATTACTGACTGTGTGAAGAATAGCATTTCAGCTAACAACTTGCCCCGAACTGACATGTGTGCTAATGTCGGCTAAATTTCAAGGTTAGCTCAACATAGCATTTCAGCTAAAGTAGCCTATTAAAAGACATCGTTAAAAGTTATCGTCTACTCTTCTTTGTGCAAAATTATAATTTTAAACATTAATATCTAAAAGAGTTGTATTGGATAAAATAAAAGGGCAAATTTACTTTTTAAGCAGGGGAAAAAAATCTATTTCTTGTATAATATAAGACCAGTCTCCAAAATAAAATATGTGCTCTCATGGTAGGCTATTAAAAGCCAAAAGCTTAAAAGCAAATAAAACATATGGGGTGAAGTAGGTACTATCAAGCATGGTAAATTCAAGATTAAATTCAAACAGTCCATTAAATCATCATGTTTGGCTTTAGCTGTCTTTAAGCAGCTCCTCGAGTTGGGAACAAACAGGTTGGATATAGTATCACGCTCAGAGCTATGATCTGTTATGCCAAACCTCCCATAACACTGAGCTCTACAGGGGAGGGGTTATTTATAGCATGATATTCCTGTCTCTTACCCTCTCTACTCACCATCTTGCTAGTATAACATTTCCCTTCTAACTTTTATACCCATTTTGCCTGTCCTATCGCCACTAAAATGCTGCTTTCTTTTCATTAGCAACTTTTAAACTCTAGGTGACAGTAGGCTGCATACAATAACACAGCATTCAACAAAACGTTACATTTACATTTTACATTTAGGGCTTTTAGCAGATGCTGTTGTCCAAAGCAACGTTCAATAAGTAGGCCTACATTTGTCTAAGAAAGTGAAAAGATCATTTTGTCCCCATATACCACTGCAACATACAAGAGATGTTTAGGTGATGAAAAGAAATCTGTCATTGTCCAGAAGTTTTATAAAGTATTATTAACTGCAGTGAAGCCTTTCCTTGAAAAATTATGTTTTCTATTCTTAGAATGTGTCAAAATCAGTCCAAAATAATATAAAATGAGCAACTACTTCAGTCCATGTGGTATTTATTTTACATCGAAGTAAATGTATTAATAGAGAAAATGTCCTTGTGTGTCAAGACTAATGTTTGTGGAACCACGCCTGGCTGTTTGACTTGTGACTAATGCTACAGGTGTGTCCTTGCACCTGGGTAGTAACTCCTAGGAGATAGTGGAAATAGCCTGCGTGGTTGCAGGTGCCCTCTATTGTCTAGTGTGTTCAACACATTCTTTAGGTGATCTACAATTTTGTTCACCGCATCAATGAATTTTGAGTAACAAACAGCACAACAAACTACAGCCTCCAAACTCACCATACAGTTGAATCAACATGTTTATGAATATTGGATTTATTTATTTTATACTGTGGTCTGAATGTCTAATAAGAATTAGTATACCCTAATTAATGGCCTAAAATTGTCTCACACCACAACAGTATTTTCTATTTTCTGCCTAGAAATGTTCTGCTAAAAACCTGCTGAAAATCTACAGAAAAAATGGCACAAAAACTCAGCAAACAGAAATAAACACTGAGAAAGTTTAAAGGTTAAGTGTATAAGTTTTAGTGACATCTAGTGGTGTTGCGAATTACAAGAATTTCAATACATACTTGTTCATTAATAAACAACAGCCACATGAATAAATGAAGTGCTACATGATGTCTCATACTCCTGTAATACAGTATTTTACAACTTGGGAGGGTTGGCTCATCTGGACTAACATAGCAAAGGAAATGATAAACATCTCAAAAACTATCAGATCTAGTGCATCAAGTATGACCACAGACAGATACCAGGACAACATAAGCCTCACTGTTTCTGCACCACAGTCCATTACAAACCACATTGGTCACTTGATAGACACACGGTCTTGTTATATATCACCATTAGCAGTAAAAAGAAATACATGTCTTCCACCAGGGCAGTAAGATGTGAAGTTGTGCTGATCTGAGCTTCCCTGCTGTTACCGTTTCATTACCAATAATATTCATCAGCTGTTTGTGTCAGGAAGGTAATAGCACATTTTGGCCCACGTAACAAAGCCATAACAGAGCACTGGAGAAGAACTACATGAAATTACAACCCAACTACATGTTTTTTCTACTAGGGCAGTAAAGGTTCAGCTGGCTGATCTGAGCTCCGATGCTGTAAGCTGCCGTTTTATTGCCAATTAGCGATCAGCTGATTGTCTTGCCCACAGGCTGGAGAATAAGTAGCGACATGAAATTAACCCAACTACATATTTTACACCACTGACAGGGAAACACATCATGGCTCTCAGTGATTTGGCCAGCTTCAGGTTAAAACTATCAAACAATAGCTTTCATTTGCATCGCTAAAGTCTGATAAACTTTAGTTAATTACCCTTCCAACAGAAAACAGGCAACTTAAGCACCACTTTGAACCA